GAAAACTAAACACATTTTTGCTATAAATTCAGTTAATTTTAGTTAGTTTTGTGAACACTCATTACAGTTTTAGTTAGTTTTTCTTTTTTTGTTTTTCTTTTTATTTCCGTTAACGAAAATGTTTTTTCACTTCTAGTTTTCGTTATTTTGTTAGTTTTCGTTAACGATAATAACCTTGCTATGGATCAAATAGACGTGACAGTCAACACAAAAAGGTTCAGACAGCTCCTCAAATGAGAGCAGATATTCCTTATATGACCATGTCTGCATTTGACCACAGAAGCCCCACCCACCTTCTCTTCAAACCTCTTGTTTATGATGAGTAGCCAATGGAAAGACAGTGGGCTTAAAAAGGGGAAAGGACTATCCAAAGGTGTCTAAGCTGAGGAGCTGAACCAGCATAAGAAAAATAAAGAGTCTAACCTGTGAATTGCAGCAATAACAATATGGAAATGTTCAATGTGGAAATCTTTCGAAGTCAAATTCATGTCTTTCTCACGTGTTCTGGTAAAAAAAATAACTAAATAAAGATAGCTATATCAATATTATATATGTTTTCCATTTCTTCTGATGATTCTAACTAGTGTAATCTTAAACTTAGATGAATACAGACCAAAACACGGCTATAAAAATGATATATTCATGATTACATTTTATTTCTATACAACACTGGAATATTTCCAGCAAAATGAAATGGCCACAATAGACTGTGAACATACCTGGGCTACATTCAGCACTGTTACACTGCTGCACTGAAACAGCAAAGCTTACAGCGTGTTGTAAATGAGTCGCTGGGAGATTTCATATAAATACAAGTGCAACAAGATTATAAACATTAAACAACTGTAATTTTTTGCAACCAAAGCAGATTTCACTTAGAGAATAGCTGATTGTCCTGCTGTTATTAAGGCCCGGTGTTACTGTCTGTATATCAGTCAGAATATATACTTACTTCATTCATAAAAAAATAATTATTCAACTATAAATTAGAACTAAACGCATACAAAAAACAAAAAACAAAAAAAACACTGATTAGGGAGAAACAAGAGAAACAAGAAAACAAAGTAAACAAAGGAGAACAAGTGCTGACAGAAGAACATAAGTTAGTAGTAACGCTGTGCAGTGTAATATGGGAGGAGATGGGGTAACATTAAAGGCTGTTATTGCTTTGGTGCACAGGGGCAGCGGCCTGTGCTGTTTCCACAAAGAAAGAGGAAGAACTGCTCATGGGAAGAGTACAACAAGGTGGAGAGGGCAAACTTCATCTCTGAGCTCACAACCCTTCATTCCCTTGCAGATGTACAGTAAACTCATCTTAAATACACACTGATATCTGGTTAATTCATAGGAAGACACCACCACCCCTCCCCCTCTTAGTCGTTGACTCTGGTCAGAAGCCCAAGAAGTCATCCTCAAATGGGCTGACAGTGTTGGGAGTGTTTCCATTGGTGCCATCCCAGTCTGGTTCAATGAGCCAATCATGGGGGGTCACCCCAATGTCCAGGACCTGGGGGTTAGTACGTGACACTGCCAGTCTGAGGGAAAGAGAAACAAC